CCCATTCCCTTGATGTCTACAATATCACCCTTTTTGTAGATTCGCATGTATGTAGCCAAAGGAACAACCCCATGTTTTCTAAAAGGCCTGGAAAACATATACCGGGTTCCCCTCCTCTTGCCCTTTGTGTTAGTCATTTTGGCAAATTACTGGATGATGGCGGTTCCGGCCGAAAGGCTGTTATTGGTTTTAAACAAGGTACTAAAGGGACCAAAAGAGAGCTTCTGCAGTTCTGTATTTCTCTAATTTTACATTTCAAAAATAGATGCAATATGAACTCAGACTGCTCCGTAAGTATTCCACTACTTTTGATGGGTAAGATTATTAAGTGCCCAGCAAGGTGTGAGCTTTGGCACACATCATACTTGTTGGCAGCTAGAGAAGCATAAGCACAAGGCTCTGTCAGTAAACCAGACGGACACAAAGCTGTCACATCCTGGGACTTTTTGAGGTTTTGATCGCTAAAGAGATAGATCAGATAGAACGGAAGCTCTCTCCTGAAGCAAGCAGAACAAACATGAACCGGAATAAGTACCTAGCGTCACTCTCACTGCCAGCTTGAGGAGTTTATCTAAATCAAATTTCAAGGAAATGGAATATTTTGTCAAAAAGTATCTGAGATACTAAACAAAAAGCTAAAAGAGTAATATAACCCTGGTAAATTGACATTACTAGGAAATGCCGGATTAGTGAGGCACTTCCCACTCCTGTTGCTGTCAATATTCTCCTAAAAGTATAGGTATTGAGAATATCCGTTGTTCTTAAAAAGTCTACTTTAGAAAATATATCAAATTGAAAATCAAGATCATGATGTATACATCTGAAATTCTTCACTTGTAAAGATGGATGAGGATATAGTTTTGTCATCTAAAATGTAATTAATCGTTCTTTCCAGATGACTTCTATAATAAAGTTACTGGCAGTGGCTGGTAATCTGTCACTGTTGGGCCTATATTACAACTGCTGATCAATAAGGGCCGCTACATCCCTGGATATAAGCACTTACTTTGACACATCTAGTAGAAAGTCATTCAATTCAGTCTGTTTGGCAAGACCTCTGCATACCTGCCATATAAAACAATGGCTATCAGTTATAAGATACTTCCACTTATTTAAAATAAGACTTTCAGAAATACTATGATTTATAACAATTATTTGGCTTATAATGTAATAATATCCACAGCTATTAATATTTGAGCATTAATGTACTAAGGATCCTAAACACTGAATAGATGTTATCACAGTTAATTATCATATAACTATATATGTGAGACTTAAAATTTTATTTCTGAGCAAAAAGAAGTTGAAAACCTTACTCAGGAGCCAGAATTAATAGGTAGTAGAGCCAGAATTCAGATCTAAATAGACTATTCTCTAACTGTTGTTTGCAACTACTTTTATTTTTTTAAGATTAAAAAAAAACAATAAAACAGAGTTTCAAATCAGGTTAGTAGGGGAGTTACAATAATTAATACATTGCAAGTTGTTACCTTCATAGTACTTTTTTAGAGGATAAGATATAAGTGTTCTATCTTCTCCAAACAGTACAAGCACAAATCTTTCTTTTCAATGAACGAAGAGAAACTAGCTATATAATTATCCTATCTTGTATATACTTCTTTTTTTTTTTTTTAACTGAGCCATCTCCCTGGCCTTTGTGTATATTTTTTTCTTTTTGCCTTTCTTCCTTTTCCCTTTCCCCCAGCATGGTTTGCCTTTTCTTTTCAATAGTTTTTTCCCCTTAATTCACAGTATCTATTATAGATTTTGTATCTTATTTACCTGTTTAGTTTCTGATACTAGTGAGACAATATGATGTTTGAACCTATAGGTTTGATTTACTTCACTTATGAATATGATGTCAAACTGTATCCATTTACCTATAAAAAGTCTACAATTTATCTTTCTTCATAGCTGTGTAGTACTCCATTGTGTTGTTAAACACATATTTTTATCCATTCCTTGGTTGGTGGGCATTTGGGTTGTTTCCAAGATTTAGCTATTACAAATTGTGCTGCTATAAAACATGAGGGCACATATATCACTGTGGTATAATGTTTTTAATTCTTTTGGGAAGATACCAGGACTTGTACTAGTCTTTGTGCTGGGTTGAATGAGGCCCCTAATCATAGTTTTTAAAGGTATCTCCACACTGATTTCCACAGTGGTTGCACAAGTTTACACTCCCACCAACAGTGGAAAAGAGTACCTTTTTCTGCACAGCCCCACCAGCATTTATTGGCTGACTTCCTGATGATCACCATTCTTTCTGGGATAAAATGGAATCTCAGTGTGGCTTAAATTTGCATCTCTCAAATGACCAGTGATGTTGAACATTTTTTCAAGTATTTGCCATTTGTATTTTCTCATGCCTATTTTTGGATTGGGTCTTTGAATTTGAGGAGTCGGATTTTTAAAAATTCTTTATATTTCTAGATAGAAGTCCTTTGTGTAAGGGACAACGGGCTATAGTTTTTTCCCATTGTAGTTTTCTCTTTACTCTTTTAGTATTTCTTTTATTGTGTAAAAGCTTTTTAATAAGGTGAGATCCCATTTCTTCCTTCTTTGTAATATTTCCCTTGCAGTCTGGGTCTTGTTCATGAAGTCGCTACCTATACTTGTATCTTTAAGCTTTCTACCTATTTTCTCTTCCAGTAAATTTAGGATTTCTATTTTAATATTTAGAGCTTTGATTCTTTTTGACTTTAATTTAGTGCATAGTGATAGATGTGGGTCTCATTCTATTCTTTGGCATTTGGAAAGCCAGTTCTTCCAGCACCACTTACTAAAGAGGCTATCCTTCCAGTGAACATGTTTGGTTCCTTTGTCAAAGATAAGGTGGCTGTGTGTGTTTGGGGCTGCATTCCATCTTCTATTCTGTTCCACCGATCCTCAATTTTTTTTTTTTTTTTGCCAATACCATGCTGATTTTATCAGAGTAGCTTTGTAGCATAATTTCAGGTCTGGGATTGTGATTTGCCTTTGACTTGCCCAGAATTACTTTTGCTATTCTAGGTGTCTTCTGGTTCCAAGTGAATATTAGGAATATTTTCTCTAGATCTATAAGATACAATAAAAGTACCTTCATTGGGATTATATTAAATCTGCCTAGCAATTTTAAGAGCATGGCCATTTTCACTATGTTTGTTCTTCATATCGAGGAACAAGGGATCTTTCTATCTTCTGATATTGTTTTCAATTTCCTTTTCTGGGGTATAGTAATTTTCATTGTACACATATTTTACATATTTGGTTAGATTTTTCTAAGTATTTCATTTTTTGAGATACTATTGGAAGTGTGTGCTTTCCTTAAATACAAATTTTTAGAAATCATGAAATATTTTAATATCAGAATATAAAGCATGAGGTCATTTATTAACCTGTATCCAATCCCCAGTGCTCAAAGTAATCATCTTTTAAGGAGGGCAATTTAAAAAATCACCCTCCAGACCTACCTGCACCTGATGTATTGCTACAGAAGCCCAAGCAAGATTTGCTGTTGCAACCTAAAACAATGAAGAAAAACAATAAAAATATATGTGACAAATTTTTATTAGCCATGTAATGACAAATTTTCTGAGGTCACTGAGCTTTTGACTATTTTGCAGAACATAAAGTATCAAATATTAACAAAGTGTATATTTTAATTTTATTTTTATTTTTTTAATGTATTTAGGACAGAGTCTACAGGGTCTCACTACACAGATCAGACTCAGAGTGATCCTCCTGTTTTCAGCTTCCCAATTGCTGAGATTACAGGCACACACCACCACGCCCTATTTTATACTTTCCCTTTCTATTTACTTTTCTTCGTCATCTTAATATTGGCTAAAATGCAAGATCAATTAAGAAAGCTATTGTCCAATTAAGAAAAGTGAAAATTACTCAGTTTAACAAAAAAACTATTTCACAGGTTTTTCCAATGACCATTTAAAATTATATATTTCTAAGAGTAAAAGTCATGTGCATATAGTAACTGACAAGTTTTCAAATTATTATTGGTTCTATGCTTTAAAAACGATTTTTCTCACAGACACTTGCTGGGTACCAGGCAGTGTACCGTGTGCTGGTGGCAGAGCAGGAAGCAAGAAAAAGACAAGAGCACTTCCTGTCCTGTGGGACAGCCGGATACCCAGAGGAGGAAGCAGCATGCAGTGCACTAGGGAGTCACAGACGCCACAGGAAAAGCAAGCAGGACAGAGGAAAGGGCCCTCCAGGTCCTCAGTGGGACTGAGCACCCAGGGCAGGTGAAAGGCAAGGCAGCCACTGTCCACACCCCTGGGCCCAAGCTGGGCTCATTCAGGCAGCGGACAGGATGAGGCCGCTGCAGGGACTCGGTTCACGCTGGATATGAGAGAGGTAACATTTTAGGATCTGGGATCAGCATTAAGGAGCTAACTCCAGTTCAGTGACTGGGAAATATTCTCCTGATGTTTGACATTCAGATCTGTATTCAGCACACAACATAGCACGAGGTTCTTTAAGAAGACATAAAGTTAATCATTAGGTGAAAGCTTTCCTAAGTCCTCTTATGGACTTATTTGATTCATAGCTTATTTGATGAACTGTCCTAAAATACTGACTTATTTTATTGGTAAAATATTTTGTTAAAGAGAAAAGACTACATTTCTAATTTAATCAGTTTTTCCTATAAACAACTGCAGAATCAAACAGGTTTTTTAAATCATTGCTAAATTTTTAAAATCACTATCAGAAGCAAACTGTGGTTTTAAGTGCTCATTCACACATTCACACAGTACCAAGTCACCAGAGGAGAGCCGGCTGCAGCACCAGTCGCAGGCAGCCAGTGCCAGGCCTCACCTCCTGGTGGCTGAGGCAGAAGGCTTCCTTGCCCCAGTGCCGGTAGAGCTCGAGAATGCCAATCAAATCACCAATCGCAGTGACAATTGGCAAGCAGAGAACAGACTGGATGCGAGTCCCTGATTCCAGTCCAGTACCTCTTGGAAATCGCTCATCCTGAAAAGCAAAAGGGCAAAACGTACAAATATAGTGAAAAAAAAAAATCAAAATGATGATGTTACGGCCCTTGTTTCTATCAGAAATTGGAACGATACATGGAATTAATAATAAGTCCTTCTCAAAGGAAAATCAAGGATGACAATTACAATATATTTTCAAAATGCCTATTTTGAGCAATACAAAACTTATTCCCCAATACTGCTTTAATGTTTTTTATCCTTTTATGGTATAGATTTTTTGAGTAAATGGTGTATGTGAACTCAATGCAATAATAATAGTAATCATAGGTCCTGAGTTTGATTTGATCCCTGTTACCAGGAAAAAAAGAAGAGAAGGATCATAAAGGTTTATATTCATTTATCATTCTATGCCAGAACTATCCTAAGCTTTTACAGGTATAATGTGGTAGTGAAAATCACTAGTCATGCAAACACTACATGAAGAAAATTGTGTCTATTCATCTATTTTTAAAATGAGAATAACATGAAGGTCTATGCTTATAACAGTCAATTTAACTGAAACTCAACAGCCCATATTAAGTATTCAAATATCTAATAATCATCGATTATTTATTTTATTTAAGAATAAAAATTGAGGGGCTGGTGAGATGGCTCAGTGGTCTAAAGCACCTACTTAGAACAAGCTTAGCAAAGCACAGGGACTGGAGTTCAATCCCCCAGCACCACATGCCAGCCAGCGCCGCCCCCTGGTGGGCTGAGCTGGCCACACACACACACACACACACACACACACGCACACACACACACACACACATTAATTAATTAATTAATTTTTAAAAAAAGAATAAAAATTGGTTCACTGACAAGTTCCTAGCTTAGCAAAATCACTCAGAGGAAGGACATGGAAATAAAATGAACTAATGTCATAAACACAAATTCTACTTATTCAATATCTACTATCTACATGAAGCTATTAGCCATGAATGAGTGCTTTCTGAGAACCAAAAAATAGTATATATGTATACTTGTAGTGAACAAATGTTTCTGAAAACACACTAGGAGATTTTCAATGTACATAGCATCTACTTTCACTTAACACTGTCACACAGTCTCTCTCACTCAAATTGTTCAGTGACAGAGATAATTAGAGGCAAAACCAAAATTAAAACTCAGGTTTTAAGACAATTTACTGCTTTTTCAGAGCAAATTCCTTCTATTCTGTACTTGTTTGCACTTCTCAGCTGTGCTCCTTGTAGTGACCCTTCACTAAGGTGTCTGAAGCTGCGTGCTGAGGCCGCCTGCTACGTCTGTCTGCAGCCAAATCCTTTGCCCTACACTCCAGCACTGGGTGCGGGCCTGCTCAGGCGATCTGCTCCGCCTACTGGGAGGGCAGTGAAGTCGCTCTGAGCCCAGACTCCAAAGCCCACATCTTGACTTCTCTCAGATTCTTCCCGCCAGGCGAGAACACTCCTGAAGGGCCTTGCTGGAGTGGGGTGAGATCTGCACAGGAGTGCGGCCATGGGAGTGAGGCCACAGGAGCGAGGCCAGCCCTACCCGCTGGCCAGCTCGCTTCAGCCCCACGGAGGAGCTCAGCTAACCGTACCCAGAACTGCAGTCCTGGGACTCCTGCGGAGTAACAAGTGGCCACCATATGACACCATGAAAATCAGGATAGTTTGTCACACGGCAACTACTAACTCATTCATGTAAATCCTGGAAAGATGTAGAGGATCTAACTCTGTAGTCCAGGCTGGCCTCAAACCCACGGCCATCCTCCGCTTTAGCCTCCTGAGTGCTTAGATGACTGGCAAGCGCTACCACACTCAGTAGAAAACAGATATTTTTAAGTTTAATAATACTTGCGTATATTAAAACAACTCTTCAAATTTGTTATTAAATACACAAGATACAATTTTTGTAATATAAAAATTAATTTAAATACAAATTCATTTACAAATCTCTAACTTGATTTAGTACTTTCATTTTTGCAAAGATGCTTAAGCTATAATATCAAAATGATATATTATCCCTCTTAATTAAATACTTCAGGTTAGAACTGTCACAAAATTAAAAAATCCTTTACCCCAAGGATGTCCTCTACAAGCAGTGTTTTCCTGGACTTGGCCACATAAGCAGAGACGGTAGTGCCCTGGGTTATGGGCCCCGCAGGGATGAGCCTGGGCTTTCCTTCCTTTACTCCAGGGGGTGTGAACACACACAGACTCTAGGGAAGGAAAGAAAAGAAAAAGAATGAGTTTCCTAGAATATCTGGATATTACTTAACACCCATGAAAGCTCTGTGAGCCAAACAAATGAGGAAATATAGATGAGGAAGGGGGAGTAAGCAGGAATCCCTGTTAAACTAAGATTAAACTATCGTTCATGTTTCTAATTTATACAAAATACAGGTTTGGCATGTTCAAGGACTTAAACACATAGACACAAAAAAATGCTTGAAATAGACTTCTGTTCGATACCTACAAACAGTGAAGTGAGAAAAAGCTGCATCCTTAATTAAGACTGTCACACTATAAACCAAGGCAGGGATCAAACTTCTCTTATACTTAACAAATATGTCTGAAGACAGCAGAGCCAGCTCTGAGCCAATGCTTTGGTTATGCTTTTTATTTTAATGAAATATGTTTCTATTAAAGATCATTATGGTTTAAAAAATCATTCACACTGTTTCAAATGACATGCTGTGAAACTGCACATTTGGGACACTGCTAAAGTCTGCTCTTCTCTGTATAAAATCATGCTAAACTTATGATCTTTCCTCTCACATGACTGAATAGGAGAGCAGGGGTTTTCTTTTTTCTTTCTCTCTCTTTTTTTTAAATGTACAGGGTCTCACTACACACCTCTAACTCATACTGATCCTCCTGGTTTTCAGCCTCCCCAGCACTAGCGTTACAGGCATGTGCCACCACGCCCAGTCTTAGTGGCTGGTTCAGGGTACCCGGAGGTGGGGTAGGCACAGCATTTGGTGCCGGGGATTGAATTCAGTGTTTTTCAAATAAATCTGCTTTCAAAAGCATCAGGATCAGTTATTTTGACAAAATGCAATACTTTTTAAATTACTCTCAACTAAGAATTGTCAACTGGGGCCAAAGAGGAAATTGATCGATGACGTGGAGTGTGCCTAAGGAGAGTCACATGAGGAGAAGACACTCTCTCAGGCTTTCACAGAGAGCACATTGGCCAAGCAATGGCCGTGACTCATCCACATGGCTGCACTGACAAAGGTTCTACAATCTGAGGTACAGGATCTCAGGATAAATCCTGAGGGCATTTCACTGACCTTCTCAAACCAAAAAGCTACGACTCTTGTTGCATAGGTTCTGCTTTACCTTGGTCTTAACCATCCAGTAGAAAAGTATGAAGATGAAATATAGGAAGTAAAGCCATGTTGTTATGTTGAGCTGTGGGGGACTCACGTCAATAATTTCTGACATTGCCAATTAAACAGAAGACTCAATGCTGTTATGGGCTTCTGTACTCTTTTAGAATATTTTGCTGAGTTTACACACCTATAATATTCAACAACGGAACTTAAAAAAAAATTGGGGTATAACTATGAATGTCCATTTTGTATCTGTGTATTCAAAGTGGTTGGGATAGATATATAGTTGCATTCTCTTAATGAATAGAATGATTTGTTCTAATGGTGTTTGTAAGTAGGATCACAAGTCTGCATCTTGTACAGCAATTAACCACTAAGAATATATGCAGTGTATTATTTGTTGAAACTGTACTTTTGATTTGATTTGAAACTGTCTCATTGCTATATGTTTATCAATAAAACTTTGAAAAGAAAAAAAAAAAAGAATTGTCAACCAAGAAAAGGGAGGGGGCAGCCAAATAGCTCAGCGGATTAAAGCACCTGCTTAGGCAGACTCAAGGGTCAAAAGCTCGATCCCCAGCCTGCCGTGCTGGCCCCACCCCCGGGGTGCACTGAGATGGTGGTTGAGACTGGGTGTGGTGGCGCATACCTGTAATCCCAGCTCTTGGGAGGCTGTAAACAGGAGAATCACTACAAGTCCAATCTAGTAGCGAAACCTTGAACAGCCTGTACACCCTGTCTTAAACAAAAAAAAGGAGTGGGGGAAGCAGGGAGATAGCTCAGTGGAGTAAGTGTTTGCCTGGCAAGTGTAAGGTCCTGAATTCGATCTCCGGTACCACCAAAAGAACAATTTTCAACCAAATCAAAGTATCTAAGTCTGCAGGCATTATTTTGACATGGTTGCTTCGATAGCCAACCAATTTTAAAGATAGTGAGCATCAAGTAAATTCTTTCTGTACTTCACTTTTATGTTAAGTAGGAACTGCTATAACTTAAAGGTTAGTGACCTGGAGGTAATAAATGTCAGACAACTCTCTTAATATAAATATCTTCCTGTTAATACTTGCTATTTACTAGCATAGTTCTAAGGGTGAGACAGTGAGTCAAATGCCTTTATGTCAGATAAATGATTTTCAAGCTTTGTAACACCAGAGAACACCTTCTTCAAGCATTCTTACAGGTGAATGAGCCCTATACATTTAACCTCCATGTTCAAGCCAATAAGGAAGAGTTAGAAGAGGAGGAGAGCGTTGGCTTAACTGTGGCATCTTTAAGTACATCACCCTTAGAAGGGACTAGAAACTAAATTCAAAACATGTCAGTCCCCAAGTGTGTCCTCACAGTTAGGACTGTATTAAACAGTATTTGTTATTAAATGCAATGCACATGGAACATACACCTACCTAAGTCATTGTTCTAGAAAGGTTTAAACCTAATACAGTATTTTAAGTACTAGGCTTACATTGACAAATAAAAATATGTACAGGATGAAAATGATAGTTGCATTTTATTTTTGGAAGGCTAGAAATCACTGTCATTGCTTTTGTTTTTTGCCACCAATTTTTAAGTTGCTGTATTTCCACTGTGCACTGATAGCTAGGTGACACAGAAGAATCTCACTAGATTTGGGACTTATCATAGGTGAATGTATGTCAGGTGTCACCCTTTCTTTCGACTGAAAGAAAAGCAGAAAAAAAAAAATAATTCAAGAACATGAAGAAGAGATGAGTGCAAGAAAAACCAGAATTGGCAACTGTTTTCTCACACTGTAGGAAAGTCACAAAGAGGGTGCTGAGCAACTGTTCCTTCTCCCTACCCAAGACAGAATTGCAGGAAGTGAACTTAAAATGAACGGAGTGGTTGATAATTATTTGAAAGCAATGCCCCGTAATGATAATGTAAAGTAAACTCTGAAGTAGCTTTGGATTTTCTCTCTTTATCTTTCTTTTCTGTCCTGTCTCTCTGTCTCTGTCTCTGTCTCTGCCTCTGTGTCTGTCTGTCTGTCTCTCTCTCTCTCTCTCTCTCTCTCTCTCTCTCTCTCTCTCTGAGTGGGGGATCATCATAGTTACTGGGCTCTGTTTGAAAATATCCAAGTTTGTTGGATAACCTACACATCAGCCCTTTAAGACCAAATTTAGTTTTATCTTGAAGTTATGTCTGCCTTCATAATTCAATAACACTGCTGGGGAGATGGCTCAGTGGAATAAGCGCTTCCCTGGCAAGTGCAAGGGCCTGAGTTCAA